GGCATGATCTCGGCTCACTGCAACCTCCTCCTCCTGGGTTCAAATGATTCTCATGCCTCAGCCTCCAGAGTAGCTGGGATTACTGGCATATGCCACCATGCCTGGTTAATTTTTGTATTTTTAATAGAGATGGGGTTTCTCCATGTTGGTCAGACTGGTCTTGAGCTCCCAACCTCAGGTGATCTGCCTGCCTTGGCCTCCCAAAGTGCTGGGATTACAGGTGTGAGCCACCGCACCCGGCCAATTTTTGTATTTTTAGTAGAGACAGGGTTTTGCCATCTTGGCCAGGCTGGTCTCGAACTCCTGACCTCAAGTGATCCACCTACCTTGGCCTCCTAAAGTGTTGGAATTACAGGCGTGAGCCACTGTGCCTGGCCCTAGTTTTCGATTTTAATCAGTAAGTTATTCCTGAGGCAGCGGGAGATACTTTGCTGGTTCAAATTAAAAAGGACTCAACAAGGCCAAATTTATGTTAAGAAAACCTTTGGAAAAGCCTAATATTTTTCTCCTACCAAGTCTTTCTAGACTGGACACCAGGATGTTGAAAACACTGACATTACCCCTTTATTACCAAAGATATGGAGTCAATTTCCAGTTTCCACACATTTATGAAGTAACTTTCTCAAATTCTCTTAGTGCCCACAGTTTCAGGGATAGCTATATGAAGTCTCAAAAAAATCGACATATTAGGGCTGCGTGTGGTGGGTTCGCGCCTGTAATTCCAGCACGTTGGGAGGTCCAGGCAGGTGAATCACCTGAGGTCAGGAGTTTGAGATCAGCCTGGCCAACATGATGAAACCCTGTCTCTACTAAAAATACAAAAATTAGCCTGGTGTGGTGGCAGGCGTCTATAATCCCAGCTAGTTAGGAGGCTGAGGCAGGAGAATCGCTTGAACCCAGGAGGTGGAGGTTGCAGTGAGCCGAGATAGAACCAGTGCACTCTAGGCTGGGTGACAGAGCGAGACTCTGTCTTAAAAAAAAAAAAACAAAACTACATACTTGTAAATGTAATATATAATAGTAATATGTAGCAAAATCTATATATTAGTAAAATTTCAATACAATTGTGTACTTTTCAGAAAAGTATCTTTACCATAAAGAAGCTACTATTTCTTAATTTATAGAACCAGTTTTTACTCAGAAATCTACCAGTTTTTACTCAGAAATCTAAGTAAATCAAATTAGTGATGTTCACTTGAGATCTTTCTGTTCTGGAGTAATAGATTATACTATGCAATTATTACAGTAGCCCCGCCACCACACCCCACTCACCATCCGCAGATTTGCTTTCTATGGTTTCAGTTATCTGTGGTCTACTGCAGTCCAAAAATATGAAATAAAAAATGCTGGCCAGGTAAGGTGGCTCATGCCTGTAATCCCAGCACTTTGCGAGGCCGAGCTGTGTGGATCACAAGGTCAGGAGTTCAAGACCAGCCTGGCTAACATGGTGAAACCCTATCTCTACTAAAAATAAAAAAAAATTAGCTGGGCGTGGTGGTAGGCACCTGTAATCCCAGCTACTCGGGAGGCTGAGGCAGGAGAATCGCTTGAAACTGGAAGGTGGAGGTTGCAGTGAGCCGAGATGGCACCACTATACTCCAGCCTGGGCAACAAGAGCAAAAGTACGTCTCAAAAAAGAAAAAAAAAAAAAAAAAAAGGCAGATCTGGCATGGTGGCTCATGTCTGTAATCCCAGCACTTTGGGAGGCCGAGGTGGGTAGATCACTTGAGCCCAGGAGTTCAAGACCAGCCTGGGCAACATGGCGAGACTCTGACTCTACAAAAAACAAAAAAGTAGCCAGGTGGGGTGGCGCACACCTGTGGTTAAGCAATTTGGGAGGCTGAGGTGGGAGGAATGCTTGAGTCTGGGAGCTCCTGACTGCAGTGAGCCATAATTGAGCACTGTGCTCCAGCCTGTGGGACAGAGAAGACCCTATCCAAAAAAAAAAGGAAAAATCCAGAAATGAACAATTCATAAGTTTTTTAAAGTGCTGGCTATTCTGAGTAGCGTGATGAAACCCCAAGCTATCCCATTGTACTCTGTTCAGAATGTGAATCATCTCTTTGTTCGCCACACTGTATATGCTATCTGCTCATTAGTGCCTTAGCCATGTTGGTTCTCAGAGAGAAAAACACAGTATATAGAAGGTTTGGTATTATCCACCATTTCAGGCATCTATGGGGGGTTTTGAAATGTATCCCCTATGGACTAGGCGTGGACTAGTATATTCTAAAAACGTGTATGTCACAAAATGTTAAAATATACATCGACTTTGAAATGTTTTAAGAATATAATTGGAATGTACAGTAAAAAGGCAGCAAATATTTTCTCCCAATGAATTCACAGCAAACAAGAACACATGTAAGAAAAACTATCATCAAGATGGATATTTTTTTCCCTCTCTTAACCGTATAATATTCATGAAAACTGAATTTCTTCCAGGTCTTTTTTAATTACCCTTAATGTATAAGAAATGGTCCCTACATTCTAATTTTTCCCGTAAGTGTGAAGTTGGTGATTTTATAAAAAGACCCTGATGAGTTACAATATATTTAAAGTTACACGTTAAAAAATTAGGGCCAGGCGCAGTGGCTCACGCCTGTAATCCCAGCACTTTGGGAGGCCGAGGCGGGCAGATCACGAGGTCAGGAGATCGAGACCATCCTGGCTAACAGGATGAAACCCCGTCTCTACTAAAAATACAAAAAATTAGCCGGGTGTAGTGACAGGCGTCTGTAGTCCCAGTTACTCGGGAGGCTGAGGCAGGAGAATGGCATGAACCCGGGAGGTGGAGCTTGCAGTGAGCCGAGATCGCGCCACTGCACTCCAGCCTGGGCGACAGAGCAAGACTCAGTCTCAAAAAAGAAAAAAAAAAAAAAACTTAGGAAGATCGGTGGGGCATAGTGGCTCACGCCTGTAATCCCAGAACTTTGGGAGGCCAAAGTGGGCGCATCACCTGAAGTCAGAAGTTGGAAACCAGCCTGGCAAACATGGTGAAACCCTGTCTCTACTAAAAATACAAAATTTAGCTGGGCATGGTGGCATGTGCCTGTAGTCTCAGCTAGTTGGGAGGCTGAGGCAGGAGAATCGCTCGAACCCGAGAGGTGGAGGTTGCAATGAGCCGAGATCATACTACTGTACTCCAGCCTGGGTGACAGAGGGAGACTCAGTCTCAAAATAAGGAAGACCACCTTTCCAGTCAACTTTAAGGAATGTTCATTTTAAAACAGCATTAAAAGTACCAAAATACACAAATACTTTGGGCAAGACTTAAATGCATACTTGATAAAAGCAGGCTGCATGTAATGGCTCATGCCTGTAATCACAGCACTTTGGGCGGCCAAGGTAGGAGGATCACTAGAGTCCAAGAGTTCATGACCAGCTCAGGCAACAAACAGAGACCCTGTTTTTTTTTTTTTTTTTTTTTTTTTGAGATGTAGTCTTGCTCTGTTGCTAGGCTGGAGTGTAGTAGCACGATCTTGGCTTACTGCAACCTCCACCTCCCGGGTTCAAGCGATTCTCCTGCCTCAGCCTCCCAAGTAGCTGGGACCATAGGTGCGTGCCACTACACTCAGCTAATTTTTGTATTTTTAGTAGAGATGGGGTTTCACCATATCAGCCAGGATGGTCTCGCTCTCTTGACCTCATGATCCACCCGCCTTAGCCTCCCGAAGTATTGCGATTATAGGCGTGAGCCACTGCACCCGGCAAGAGACCCTCTTAAAAAAAAAAAAAAAGGGCCGGGCGCGGTGGCTCAAGCCTGTAATCCCAGCACTTTGGGAGGCCGAGGCGGGTGGATCACGAGGTCAGGAGATCGAGACCATCCTGGCTAACATGGTGAAACCCCGTCTTACTAAAAATACAAAAAACTAGCCGGGCGTGGTGGCGGGCGCCTGTAGTCCCAGCTACTCGGAGGCTGAGGCAAGAGAATGGCGTGAACCTGGGAGGCGGAGCTTGCAGTGAGCCGAGATCGCGCCACTGCACTCCAGCCTGGGTGACACAGCGCGAGACTCCGTCTCAAAAAAAAAAAAAAAAAAAGGACGGACGCGGTGGCTTGAGACTCCCGTCTCAAAAACAAAAACAAAAACAAAAATAAAAACAGACGGATTTCTATATAAATCTGGCTTTCCAGAGTCTTTGGAAAACCTGAAAGAGGGACGGGCACAGTGGCTCATGCCTGTAATCCCAGCACTTTGGCTGAGGCGGGTGGATCACGAGGTCAGGAGATCGAGACTATCCTGGCTAACACGGTGAAACCCCTGTCTCTACTAAAAATACAAAAAAATTAGCTGGGCGAGGTGGCAGGCGCCTGTAGTCCCAGCAACTTGGGAGGCTGAGGGAGGAGAATGGCATGAACCTGGGAGGCGGAGCTTGCAGTGGGCTGAGATCGTGCTACTGCACTCCAGCACTCCAGCCTGGGTGACAGAGCAAGACTCCGTCTCAAAAAAGAGAAAAAAAAAAAAAAGGCCGGGCGCAGTGGCTCAAGCCTGTAATCCCAGCACTTTGGGAGGCCGAGACGGGCAGATCACGAGGTCAGGAGATCAAGACCATCCTGGCTAACATGGTGAAACCCCGTCTCTACTAAAAAATACAAAAAACTAGCCAGGCGAGGTGGCGGGCGCCTGGGTCGCAGCTACTCGGAAGGCTGAGGCAGGAGAATGGCTTAAACCCGGGAGGCGGAGCTTGCAGTGAGCTGAGATCCGGCCACTGCACTCCAGCCTGGGCGACAGAGCGAGACTCCGTCTCAAAAAAAAAAAAAAAAAAAAAGAAAGAAAACCTGAAAGATATGGTAACAGCTGAGTAGGAGTGGCATTCACTCTTCAGCTGACCATATCCCCTTCCTGGCTCTCATTTTAATTTCTCATCTGGCTTCTGTAGGTATCTGAGTTTGCAAACCCTACTTACAAGACCTAAGGAGGAAAAGCACAACGTCGGCTGGTCCAGGGAGCCCCAGTGGCTAAGCCCTGGTCCAGCTCTGGGTGTGAGCTAGGCCCCCTCACCTGGAAAGTCAGTGACAGCAGGGTCCGCCAGCCGCCCATAGCGTGCCATTAGTTTGAGCTTGGTCTCCTGTTTTCTGTGTTTCTTGCCCACATAATGTTGTTGAGCCATGACAGGGTCGTTGAAAGTCGCATGGCAGAGGCTGCAGAACTTGTCTGGGTCTATCATCTCTCTATTCTGGTGCAAGGCTAAGGTGGAGGCCACAAGGAAAGGATTTGTAAGGTGTTTCGACAGAGCTGCGGTGAGAGAGTTCAAACAGAAACAATGAAAAAACCCAGAAGGTGCCAGGCTTTTGAGTATGCTGAATAGAAAGGGCTGTGACACCAGTTAATCCCACTTGCAGTGTGGCACTGCCTGTGTGAATCACACACGTGAATGCATTCTCTAATTGGGAAACCTGCGAAGATTTGAGGGAGCCCAAAGACTGGCTATTTCATTCAGCAACTTTAACTACTGTAAGCCCACAAATCCTGATTTTTCTCATATTCTTAGGAGGCTCTGAACTTCTGCTATCAAGTTGTCAAATTACAATAGACTCGAGACGCATACTTGCACTCTTGCAGGGATACCTCAGCATTTCCCAGAACTTCACAGCAAGTGGGACACAAAGTTTGGGAGTTTTATTCTCATCCTTGAAGTAATACAGTTGCAGAGCTGGGAACCAATGCACAGATACAGAAATTGAGGCTTGAGTTCCTGGAGCTCATACAGGGTCATTTAGAAAAGGTAACCATACTAGGGATGCCTTTTAGGCTACATTGCATATTAACAGGCTGAGCAGAGAGAAAAGAGGACCATTAACATTTAGTTATGTGTTTTGCTCATGCCTGTAATTCCAGGGCTTTGGGAGGCCAAGGCGGGCGGATCACGAGGTCAAGAGATTGAGACCATCCTGGCCAACATGGTGAAACCCCATCTCTCCAAAAAATAAAAAAATTAGCTGGGCATGGTGTCATGTGCCTGTAATCCCAGCTACTCGGGAGGCTGAGGTAGGAGAATCACTTCAACCTGGGAGGCGGAGGTTGCAGCGAGCCGAGATCGTGCCATTGTACTCCAGCCTGGGTGACAAGAGTGAAACTCCGTCTCAAGAAAAAAAAAAAAAATTAGTCATGTGTATTGTATATGTATTTTCTCCTTTGGTCCTCAGAACAACCCCAATGAGGTAGGTATCACTTTGCCACATTATTCAGAAAAACTGAGGCTCAGACGAGTGAAGTGGCTTGCCCAAGGTGACCCAGCTAGTGAGTGAAGCCAGGTCTGTGACCCTAAAGCCTATGCTCTCTTTGCTACGCCAGGCTGCCAGAGTGTGGCAAGAAGACCTGAAGGCTATAGCTCTTACTTTCACCTTCAGAAAACATCCCTGATTCTGGCCAATGAATTCAGTTAATCAGAACCTGGTGTAGGCATACCTGTGAGCCTCTTGTGCATCAACATATGGCTAGATGTTGACTGCAGGCTGTGCTGCTGCCTCATAAAGTGGATGCCACAACTCACTAACAAGTCCATGTGGCTGAAATGGTGTCAACCTAGCAACTACTGCTTTAAAAATGTGGGGCCCAGAAGCCCCCACCAGTGGTGGAGGATGGATGGGGCTCAGCAGGACTCAGATGAGATGTCTCAGATGCTCTTCCATACCTTTATCACTTCAACTGGGGAAGTTTTGAGGATTTTGGGCAAGCCAGAAGAAATTTTCTGGCCTTTCCCACAATGGTTTTCCAGTAGAGATGGAATCTCAATTTCTCTGCTTGTTGATTTTGTTTCAGCAAGTCATTAAAAAAGTAATGTACATGTTGTAGAATATTTTATAATATGAGAAAATATTCTGTTTGTGGTGTTAGAGTGTAAAAAAATCAAGTTACAGGCCAGGCGCAACGGCTCGTGCCTGTAATCCCAGCACTTTGGGAGGCTGAGGCAGGCAGATGAACTGACTCAGGAGTTCTGAGACCAGCCTGGCTGATCTTGGCGCACTGCAACCACTGCCTCCGAGGTTCAAGTGATTCTCCTGCCTCAGCCTCCCAAGTGGCTGGGATTACAGGCATGCGCCACCATGCCCAGCTAATTTTGTATTTTTAGTAGAGACGGGGTTTCTCCATATTGGTCAGGCTGGTCTCAAAACTCCTGACCTCAGGTGATCCACCCGCCTCAGCCTCCCAAAGTGCTGGAATTACAGGCGTGAGCCACTGCACCCGGCCTACTATCTTCCAACTTTTCTGTAATGAATGTAGATTTTTAACATCAGAAAAGAGATATATAATGGTTGTAAGAGAGAACGGTCATTCTTTGAGATACTGAAGAGAAGCATCAGAGGTGAAAGCGTAAGTTAAGTTTAGAAGAACCATTTAATGTGCATCCAATAAAACGAGGGATATAGAGTCTGTTCCCAGAAAATAAACTGAAATATAATAAAGTGTTCTACAGAGATGTTCACTGTAGTGTTATTTGTAACACTAAAAAGTGGGGGGTGGGGAGATTAAATGTTCAGCATTAGAGGAATGTTAAATGTGGTATGATGCACTCACTAAAAATGCTTATAAAGAATTTTTTAATAACATGGGGAAATACAAATGTCATATTAAATAAAAAACGTATAGAAGGCAATTGTATGGCCAGGTGCAGTAGCTCACACCTGTAATCCTAGCACTTTGGGAGGCAGAGGCAGGTGAATCACCTGAGATCGGGAGTTAGAGATCTGGCTGGCCAACATGATGAAACCCCATCGCTACTAATACAAAAATTAGGCAGGGCATGGTGGCTCACGCCTGTAATCCCAGGACTTTGGGAGGCTGAGGCGGGTGGATTACCTGAGATCAGGAGTTTGAGACCAGCCTGACCAACATGGTGAAATTCCATCTCTACTAAAAATACAAAACTGGCCGGGCATGGTGGCTCACATCTGTAATCCCAGCATTTTGGGAGGCCGAGGTGGGTGGATCACCTGAGGTCAGAAGTTCAAGACCAGCCTGCCCAATATGGGGAAACCCCATCTCCATTAAAAATGCAAAAATTAGCCAGGCGTTGTGGTGGGCGCCTGTAGTCCCAGCTACTCAGGAGGCTGAGTCAAGAGAATTGCTTGAACCCAGAGGGTGGAGGCTGCAGTGAGTCAAGGTTGCACCACTGCACTCCAGCCTGGGCGACAGCAAGACTCTGTCTCAAAAAAAACACAAAAACAACATTAGCCGGGCATGGTGGTGAGCACCTGTAATCCCAGCTACTCGGGAGGCTGAGGCAGGAGAATCGCTTGAACCCGGGGGGCAGAGGTTGCAGTGAGCTGAGATCGCGCCACTTCACTCCAGCCTGGGTAGAAGAGGGAGACTCCATCTCAAAAAAAACACAAAAAACATAAAAGAAGGCAATTATACACACCATACGGTAAGATCATTGTTTGAGGCCAGGAGTTCAAGAGTAGCCTGAGCAACACAGTGAAACCCCGTCTCTACTAAAAATACAAACATTGGCCAGGCGTGGTGGCACGCGCCTGTAGTCCCAGCTACTTGGGAGGCTGAGGCAGAATCGCTTGAACCCAGGAGGCAGAGGTTGCACTAAGCCGAGATCGTGCCACTGCACTCCAGCCTGGGTGACAGAGTGAGACACCATCTCAAAATAAATAAATAAATAAATAAAAATAAATTAAAAAAAAAATTAAAAAACCCTACATGTGTAATCCATATGTGTATACTGGTATTTTGAAACATCACCAACATATTAACAGTATTTCTCTTTTGGTGGTAGGATTTGGGTGACATTTTAGTTTCTTCTTTGTATCTTTTGCAATTGCTTGAAGTGGAATTATTCATAATGAGTATGCATTGTTTTTATAAAAACATTAAAGTTATTTAAAGTAGTCTATGTTTATATGCACATATACACGGAGCTAACCTAGATATACATAAAACAAATATACACACAGACATACACAGATACACATAACAATAAGATTATAGGAGAAACAGATTATAGGAGAAACCAAAATGTTAACAGTGTTTATCTGTGAATGGTAAAATTATGGGTAACTTTTCTTTCCATTTATCCATGTTTTCCTTATCTCTCACAACATGCTTATATTACTTTTACATTAAAAAGTGTTTAATCTCAGAAATATAGTTATAAAGTCGTGTAATAACATGGAAATGTGCGTAAGCTGTAAAATTAAATGAAAAGTAAGAGCAGGATATAAAGGGTACATGCATTACAATCACAACTATATAAAAACAAAGTATGTGGCAAAAGCTGAACATGAATATGGAAAATAATCTCTTGAGTATGAAATTTCAGGGACCAGGCATAATGCAGAGAATTTTCCCATTTGTGGAAAAATAAGTCTGTGACCTTATAAATTTTTTTTTCTTTTTTTTTTTTTTTTTTTTTTTGAGACAGGGTCTTGCTCTGTCCCCCAGGCTGGTATACAATGGTGCGATCTCAACTCACTGCAACCTCTGGCTCCTGGGTTCAAGCGATTCTCCTGCCTCAGCCTCCCAAGAAGCTGGGACTACAGGTTCGTGCCACCACGCCCAGCTAATTTTTGTTATTTTTAGTAGAGATAGGGTTTCACCATGTTGACCACGCTGGTCTCGAACTCCTGACCTCAAGTGATCCGCCCACCTTGGCCTCCCAAAGTGCTAGGATTACAACAGGCATGAGCCACCACGCCCGGCCTATGTCCTGTGTTTTTAATACACATTATTGTATCCTCACAACCGATGAAGTAGATAGTATTATTATCATTGTATAGGTTAGGCAGTTCAGACACAAAAAAGTCATATAAACAGTAACAGTGCCAGGCTTTTAAACCTGGGACTCTGTGACTTCAAAGTCCACATTCTGCTGTTTCATACCATGACGTGGGTGTGATCAAAAGGTGTAATTATGAGTGGCCAGGTGTGGTGGCTCATGCCTGTAATCCCAGCATTCTGGGAGGCCGAGATGGGAGGATCACTTAAGGCCAGGAGTTCAAGCCCAGCCTGAGCAATATAGTGAGAAGCCATCTCTATTTAAAAAAAAAAAAAAAGGTTTTGGCCAGTGTGGTGGCTTACGCCTATAATCCTAACATTTTGGGAGGCTGAGGCGGGTGGATCACGAGGTCAGGAGATTGAGACCATCCTGGCTAACATGGTGAAACCCCGTTTCTACTAAAAAATACAAAAAAATTAGCCGGGCATAGTGGTGGGTGCCTGTAGTCCCAGCTACCAGGAAGGCTGAGGCAGGAGAATGGCACGAACCTGGGCAATGAGCCGAGATCACGCCACTGCACTTCAACCTGGGCAACAGAGCGAGACTTTGTCTCAAAAAAAAAAAAAAAAAATTATGAGTGATTTTTCACACTACCTTCAAAGCCTTCCAAAACACTGTTGTCAGTAAACACATAAAGGATAATACTATTACTAATAGTGTAGTCTACTTCTTGGTCCAAAATAGAGAAGCAAAAATTATCAAGGAAACAATGAAATAAACATCAAAGAAATTTCACTCTTGACTAATTGCAATTAGCAGAGGTTAAAACCCCAGAAAGTCAGGAGTTAATGAGATGAAAGTGAGGGCTGAGCCTTAGTCATGACAAGATAAAGGGGGCTATTTCAGAAGTCACTGTACTGGGAATGAATTCATGGCAGTTACAGATTGCGGGGCAGTAGTAGCAGCACTGAAGTATTCAGCTTTGAAAGACAAGTCCCTGTCTTGAGGAGAACAGGCAGCTTTTGAGGATTAAAGTGAGTAGGCCATAACCTGAGCATGTGAAAAAGACAAGGATTTAGCTTTCAACTTGGAACATGCAGTAATAAGGGCAGGTGGATGCTGGGATGGAAAAATCTAAGTGAGAGAGGTAGGAGATAGAATGCTCTCATGGTATGCACGGCCTGGAGGACTTTGGCACTCCTGAGTTATAATTATTAGTCAGGACAAAAGCTCAGGCTATAGAGAAAAATCTATCACCAAAGAAAGGGAGGTTAGGTGAGCATAATTCTGAGATTGCATTTCAATGAAACTGGGTCTAGTTGGAGATTTTTAAGGGTTCTCAAAAGGAATTCAACCTCAAGTCTGTGGCCCCAGTGAGGATCTCTGTGAGTCCCTGGCAATGGTGCCCTGAGGACAGGAGGGGTCCCACTACAGCACTACTCAGGAAAACCAGTACCTTCCACCTTAGTGGATTGCTGCTTCAGCTTTAAGTTCTTTGCGTGGGTCTTCCCCAGGTAGTGCGACTGGGCCACGACAGGGGAGGAAAAGGTCATGTTACAGATGGGGCAGCACTGGTTCTTGTCTTTGCTTCTGCTGCTCTTCTGGTTGGAAGAAAGAACATAGGTCTGATCATACCACTGCCCCGCCAGAAAACCTTCAATGGTTCCCCACTGCCCATAATAGAATAGGCATTTACGGCCCCCCTCACACATTAACCCCAACCTACTTTCTAGATTCTTCTCCAGCTACTTCGTCCCAGGCTCTACTCACCATCCCCCACTTTATTCTCTGATGCTTCCTTGATTTGCTTTGGCCATTCCTGCTGTCTAAAATGCTCTTCCTTCCTTTCCTGCTTGGCAGCGTGTCTGCTTAGCCTTGAAGACCCAATTTAAATAAAAGCTTTTCTTCTGGGGGACTTTCTCTCAAAAAAAAAAAAAAAATCATTCAGTAAACAACTATCAAGTCCCTTTGTCTGTGTATTCCAGGAAGAATAATTAACCCTGCTCCTCTTCTGTACTCCGAGAGTACATGAAATAGACCTCTGTCCTACCACTTGCCACCCTAAACTGACAGTGTGTCATAGCTTAGGAGACTTTTCTGTGAACTCAAGTGTAACACTGGAACAGGCACTATTTGACTCATTTTTGTTTCCTATCCTTCACACCCCGCTGGAGTCTGGCACACAGTAGATGCTCAGAGTTTGCTGAACAAGTGGACCATTAGGTTGTGTTTTTTTTTTTTTTTTTAGACAGGGTCTCACTCTGTTGCCCAGACTGGAGTGCCATGGCACGATCTCGGCTCACTGGAACCTCCACCTCCAGGGCTCAAGCAATTCTCCCACCTCACCCCATCAAGTAGCTGGACTACAGGAACACACCACCACACCTGGCTAATTTTTGTATTTTTTGTAGAAATGGGGTTTTACCATGTTGCCTAGGGTGGTCTCAAATTCCTGAGTTCAAGCAATCTGCCCGCCTCAGCCACCTAAATTCCTAGGATTACAGGCATGAGCCACTGCACCCAGCCTCCCACTGCATTCTAGTTGCTGATTATGATTAGGCTAGAAAACCGCATATTTCAAGACTACATAAAGGGATCCCAACATCTCTCTCAGAAAGCCTGATCTCTGAATAGGGTGCAAAGATGTAAAATAAGTTGCCCAGGGTCATAGAGTTGATCTTGCCTTTCTGAATTATAAATTATAAGAAAAGGGCCAGGTGTAGTGGTTCAGACCTGTAATCCTGGTACTTTGGGAGCCTGAGGCAGGAAGATCGCTTGAGACCAGGAATTTGAGACCAGCTTGGGCAACAAAGCGAAACCCTGTCTCTATGAAAAAATTTTAAAAAACTCAGCCAAGTGTCTGGGCGCAGTGGCTCACACTTGTAATCCCAGCACTTTTGGAGGTTGAGGCAGGCAGATCACTTGAGGTCAGGGATTTGAGACCAGCCTGGCCAACCTGGTGAAACCCCATGTCTACTAAAAATACAAAAATTAGCTAGGCGTGGTGGCGCATGCCTGTAGTCCCAGCTACTTGGGAGGCTGAGACAGGAGAATCGCTTGAACCAAGGAGGTGGAGGTTGCAGTGAGCTGAGATCGTGCCACTGCGCTCCAGTTAGCCAGGCATGGTGGTGTGTGCCTGCAGTCCTAGCTACTTGGGAGGCTGAAATGGAAAGATCACTTGAGCTTGGGAGGCTGAGGCTGCAGTGAGCCATGATTGTACCACTGCACTCCAGCCTGGGTGACAGAGCCAGGTCCTGTCTCATAAAGAGACAGATAGAGAAATAGATAGAAAGGAGGGAATCCAGGGATAAATAAATAAATAATAAGAAGGGAAACCAGGGGATGAGTCCAGTGAATTTTGAGAAGAGATAAACAAGGACCTTCCTAACCTGTGGCTACTATAATAGGAGGTAGCAGTTTATAGAGTAAACTCTTATTTTTGAGCATCTACTGGGAATTGAAAATTTTACCTCACAATACCTTAAGAAGTGGGAATTATCTTTACTTTATGGGTGAAGTTCGCAGAGGTTAAGTGACTTGGCCAGGTCACCCGACCAGTAAGACACACAGCCAGCTTTGAGCCCTAGTCTGCTCAATTTCTTTTCCCATGATGAGATGGTACTCCTGAGGGGTTGGGTGTTGCTTCAGCATAATGCTCATAATATTTCTGAGCCAAAAAGCACATGTGATCACCTCTAAATCAGAACAGACATTTGGAAAGGAGTTACTTCTGCTTATTTATTCAAAACATTCAAGTGCTGAACTTAGTTCTTTTCCCTGGCTCTCGAGAAAGCAAGCAGCCTGGCTTCTTTCCACTTTCTCTTGTCTGGCTCCAATAAACCACTAGGTGGTAATATGTAATATCGACTCCATTACTGAGTCCCTACTATGTGCCAGGCTCTGAATTGGGTGCTTTTTATAAACCTGCCCTCAATTTTAGTTTCGAAAAATCCTGAAAGGTAGTTGGTATTACCATCCTCATTTTTATACAGGAAGAAACCAAGGCTTTGTGAAGTAATAGACTTGCCCAAGTCACACAACAGGGCCAGGATTTGAAGCCAAGACAGTCTGACTTGCTCACCACACCAACCTGCTGGCTGGCGTCATCAGGAAGCAAGTGGGCTCAATATGGCAGTTGTATTACCTGATCTGAGTCTAGCTTCTTCGTTTCCCCCTTTAATGTCTCCATTCCATGGATTGCTAGGTATCTCTTCACTTTGTTGGCATGTTTTTTGCTCTGCAAAAACCCAGGGAAAAGATCAAAGATAGCCAAATGCTACTTCATACTTAAGGCACTCAAAAACACTTACTAGATTTTCATCTGATTCATCCTCACAAAAAGTTTTGAGGAGGAGGTGAGGGAAGTTTGAGTTCCTGCTCTGTGCAAGGCATTTTACAGCTATCAAATTTAATCTTCACAATCTATGAGAAAATTATGACCATTTCTATTTTATGGATGAGGAAACGATGTCTAGAAATGATGAAGTTTCTTGCTCAAGATGAGTAGCAGAGTTTTGATTCAAACTCAGATCTATTTAATACCAAAGCTCATACTTTATGCTATGCCAAGCTGCAAGGGAAGATACACATATAACGATCCTGATTTAGATAGGGGAGATGAGACTCAGGGAAATTAAGTCAATCTTCAAGTCACAAGCCAACATGCATGGAGGCAACATCTGGGTGGCTAAGCAGCAATTACACTTCACCATGCAAGCCAGGGAGAATTAGGGGTTTGGCATCAGGTCTGAAAAGAAACACAGCTCTAAAAGTATGACGGCATACCTGGTAATGTGCCAGCTTCTGGGACTCAGAAATAAGCAAGGCGCAGCAAACCTTACACTGGGTGTTGGTGAAGAGACATTGGTTCTTCTGGATCATGTGCTCCACTACAGAGGGGAAAACAAGAAATCACTGAGTTGACAAACACCACCTCAACAGCATTGTCTTTCAACTCTGCCTCAAACACAGGCACTGAATGATGGGATGCCATACTAGGACACTGGCAGACCTCAGCCAGCCTTTCCTACTGCCGCTGTGACTCATGCTGTGTTCTCACGCCACCTACACTATTACTTATTTTATAATTTTATGTATGCCAGCTTTCTTTACTTAGGAACTTCTTTTAAAAAGGAATCTTTAGATCATAAACTTAAGTAGATACCAATAAAAATAAATATGATAAAAATGAGGCTTGGAGCATTCCCCAGGAAGAAGAGAACAGCAACTGTGCTGAGAGGTTTTAAGATAAGGTAGTACCCAACTGAAACTTCTTCCCAGATAGAATCAGGAGGACTGAAAGACTCGAAAAGGGAATACTTTTCTCATTGTTCTCGATCTGACTTGGAAACATTTAAAATCACGTAACAGAGCAGGGCGTGGTGGCTCACGCCTGTAATCCTAGCACTTTGGGAGGCCGAGGTGGGCAGATCACCTGAGGTCAGGAATTTGAGACCAGCCTGGCCAACATGGTGAAACCCTGTCTCTACTAAAAATACAAAAATTAGCCAGGCGTGGTGGCAGGCGCCTATAATCCCAGCTACTCAGGAGGCTGAGGCAGGAGAATTGTCTGAACCCTGGAGGCAGAGGTTGTAGTGAGCTGAGGTCGTGCCACTAACTCCAACTTGGGTGACAGAGCTAGACTCCATCTCTAAATAAATAAATAAAATAAAATCACATAACATATTACATAAGTGCCACACTGTATGAAACATGGCCTGGAGAACAGTCTTACCTTTTTGAGGAGAGGTAAAATCTCTCTCCCAAGGCATGAGTTGCATTTTTTTTTTTTTTTTTTGAGATGGAGTCTTGCTCTGTCGCCCAGGCTGGAGTGCAGTGGCGCAATCTTGGCTCACCGCAAGCTCCGCCTCCCGGGTTCACGCCATTCTCCTGCCTCAGCTGGGACTACAGGTGCCCGCCACCGCACCCGGCTAATTTTTTGTATTTTTAGTAGAGACGGGGTTTCACTGTGTTAGCCAGGATGGTCTCGATCTCCTGACCTTGTGATCCTCCCATCTCGGCCTCCCAAAGTGCTGGGATTACAGGCGTGAGCCACCGTGCCCAGCCCTTTTTTTTTTTTTTTGAGACGGGAGTCTCACTCTGTCGCCCAAGCTGGAGTGCAGTGGAGCATTCTCGGCCGACTGCAAGCTCCGCCTCCTGGGTTCATGCCATTCTCCTGCCTCAGTCTCCTGAGTAGCTGGGATTACAGGCGCCCGCCACCACGCCCGACTAATTTTTTTGTATTTTTAGTAGAGACAGGGTTTCACCGTGTTAGCCAGGATGGTCTTGATCTCCTGACCTTGTGATCCGCCCGCCTTGGCCTTCCAAAGTGCTGGGATTACAGGCGTGAGACACTGCGCCTGGCCAAAGCATGAGTTCTATCATGGCACTGGCAATGTGAGGCAGAGGCAAAGTCTAAAACTGGGAGAGGAGGGCAAGACCACATTTTTAATCTCCTGGTCTCAGCCAAAAAGTGGTCAAGACCAGGCACAGTGGCTCACGCCTGTAATTCCAGCATTTTGGGAGGCTGAGGTGGGAGGATGGATTGAGCCCAGGAGCTTGAGACCAGCCTGGGCAAGATGTGAGACTCTGTCTCTACATAGAAACAAACAAACCAACAAACCAAAAACTAGCTGGGGGTGGTGGCACATGCCTGTGGTCCCAGCTTCATGGGAGGCTGAGGCTGAGACAGAGACAGAAGGATTGCTTGAGCTCAGGAGGTCAAGGCTACGGCAAGCAATGTTAGTGCCACTGTACTCCAGCCTGGATAACAGAGCAAGCCCCTGTCTTAAAAAAAAAAAAAAGGTCGATGCCCTGGCAGAGGTTCCTGGTGGGGAGCTTTTAAGATGCCTCTCCCTAATCCACAAAATCTAAAGCTTATCTATGTCAGCCCTTTTAGGCAGAAGGGCTGTATTTCCGTCCCTAATGATCTCTTTTTGTATCTGCATTTTTCTCTTACAATGGTAAATTTTTGTCAAAGACCTTGCCTGCCTTAGCTATGCTCTGAAAAACCAAGAGAAGTGACTCTATAAACAGAATTGGCCCAGGGCTTTTAAAAGAGGGTCAGAGGCGGCCGGGCACGATGGCTAATGCCTGTAATCCCAGCACTTTGAGAGGCCAAGGTGGGTGGATCATCTGAGATTAGGAGCTCGAGGCCAGCCTGGCAAACATGGTAAAACCCTATCTCTACTAAAAATACAAAATTAGCCGGGTGTGGTGACGCATGCCTGTAATCCCTACTACTTGGGAGACTGAGGCAGGAGAATCACTTGAACCTTGGAGGTGGTGGCTGTAGTAAGCCGAGATTGTGCCATCGCACTCCAGCCTGGGCAACAGCGAAACTCGGTCACACACACACACACACACACACACACACACACACACAGAAGAAGAAAAAAGAAAAAAAAAAAGAGGGTCAGAGGCTTCTCAGAATCAGAAACCCACATGGAGAAGGTAATACCCAGAGGTCAGAGTTCAGTCATCACTTCCTCACCTGGAGATTGCGGATTTTGTTTTGTTCAAGAGATGAGGTTTCAAGCATATTCACAATCAGACTCCTAAACCCACAGCAGGGGTAGGCAAGTACTTGCTAAATAAATGTACCTCTCTGCTGGAATGCACTCTCTGGCCTTAGAGAGCACATTCACATAGTCCACACACATACATTTATAGTACCTGCTTTGTGCCAACACTGCACTTAGTGCTGGGGGCCACACCAACAAATAAGACAGGGTATAAAGTAAAAAATAAGCAAGATAATGACAGAGAATTAGAAATGCCATGAAAACAAGCAGAGTACGTGGTAGAGAATGATGGGGCAGGAAAGTTAGTAAAGCCCATCACAGGGCCAGTTGTGGTAGCTCACACCTATAATCCCAGCAACTCGAGAGGCTGAGGCAAGAGGACTGCTTCAGGCCAGAAGTTTGAGACTGTCCTGGGCAACACAGGGAGAGTCACATCTCTACAAAAATAATAATAAAAAAACCCCCAAAACGTAGTTGGGCATGGTGGCACATGCCTGTAGTCCTAGCTACTCAGGAGGCTGAGGTGGGAGAATCCCTTGAGCCTAGAAGTTTGATGCTGCAGTGAGCCGTGATTGTGCCACTGCACTCCAGCGTAGGCAATAGAGAGAGACCTCGACTCTGAAAATTAAAAAAAAAAAAAAAAAAAGATCATCATGAAGAAGTGTCAGCCACAAGGCTTACAGGAAAAGAGTGTTCCAGCCTGAAACAGTATTAAGTCTGTGAGGCAGGGATGAGTTTGGCATATTCCATGTGCAAAGAATGGAGAGAAGCCCAGTATGCCTGGAATATGGTGAATGAGAGAAGAATGGTAGGAAATTAAGTTGGAGAGATAGCATGAGGCCTAGAAGATCATGTTGAATTAATATAAAGCTCCATAAGCCACAGTATGAACTAAGGATTTTATTGTTAGTGTAATGAGAGGTGACAATATCTGGTTTGCCCTTGAAAAGATTACTCTGACAGTTGTTGTCAACAGAATGTATGGGGACAAGAATGGAAGCAGAAAGAACAAGGAAGAGGCTGCTGTAGTCTTCAGAGAATAGATGGAAGCTTGGACTAGGCAGATTGTCCGTGGAGACGGAGAAAAGTGAATGAATTTGGAATTATGTTCTGGCAGTAGGTTTGACATCTGATTTCTTAGACTGGATGTGGGGGTGGGAGTGAAGGAAGGAAAGGACTCAAGGATAATTCCTAGGTTTTGAACTTGAACAAGTGAATAGATTACAACTAGGGGAAGATAGCCTTGGAGGAAAAATTAAAGACTTTTTGTTATATGAGTGTGAGTAGTCTATCAGATATATAGGTGGAGATGAGTTGGAGATTCAGATCTGTCAGTCACTTGAAGTTCAAGGGGGAGATCAGAGTTGGAGACATAAATGGGGAATCATTACTGTATCAATCATATTTAACGCTGTGGGGTTGGAAGAAAATGCCTAGCATTGATGAAGAAGGAAAAGTTCAGAGACTGAGCCTTGGGACCCTCCCAATTTTGAAGTTAGGCAGAGGAAGCGAAGTTGAATATAAAACAAGGTGAGTACAGGGTGGAACTTCTGGCCGAGGCAGAGCGAGGAAATCTCCTGCAGAAGCAACAATAAAACAGGACAAAACTGACAAAACCAACCACTTCAGCACTCTGGAAGTTAACCAAAGGGACTTAACAATCTGAGCAACTTTATGCTTGCAAAACTGCTGAACTTCAGGTAAGAATAGTAGGAATCAGTGGCTTTTTTTTTTCCCCCCAAATGGGGGAAAAACGAACAAGCAAACAAACAAAAATTCAGGGTTGCCCAGGCTACACGCTGGACTGCAGTGGCATAATGTCAGCTCACTGTAGCCTCAACTTCACAGGCTCAGGTGAGGCTGCTCTCAGCCCCTCCTGCACTCGGTGTAGAAACTCTGGCAAGAAGGTGCTGGCCATGAAAACAAATAGCTTCCATACAGACGGGAGGAAATCACTTGATTTCCCTTGCATGTTTTCTATATTGTTGATGGAAGTGATGATCTCCAAGGCAGTAAGCAGGAAGAGTCAAAGGCTCCACTGGCCGGAGGTTTGGTCATGGTTGGGGCAAGTGTGTTCCTGGCTGAGACTGTGAGACAGCGCAGACCTGAGAGGGCCCAAGTTAGCCACATACTCATGGCCCACCCTGAGGCTGCATATGCACATGTAAGAGATACAAAAGGACCTCGTGGGAAGGGTAGATCTCAAAATGACTTGAACTTTGAATACGCTTCCCTACCAACACACAGATCCAACAGTAGAAAATCAAGGCCTTATAGGTTCCAGGTGTTTAGAACAAGATCTTGTTGAATCACTAGTTAATCTGACCACTAAGCAACATAAACATACTAAAGTAAAAATTATACAA